CTGAAGAGGCGGCAGGCACGGCCCCAAAGGGAGACAGCCCTTGCCTCCTGCCCTCCCGCCGGCCCCTCCCCTCGGAGCCCTCCCTGGACTCGCCCCGTCCTGCCAACAGCACTACAACGGCACTGTCATCATAGTGACGACCACCACATTGATGGTGTGCTCTCTGGGTGCCAGCCTCTGCTGACCCCCCCTTAGATCCTGAAGCTGGTCGACGTTGGGCCCAGCCAGATGCCATCTTAGAGAAACCTCACCACAGCGACCAGTAGTAGGTGCCAGCCTTTAAGAGAAGGGCATGAAGCTGAAACTTAAAACCAAGAAAATGCTAAACATTCACTTAAACAAAAACGAGCTGGAAAGCTCTTCCGTCTCGACGTCTGGGGGAGTTCGCGGCGTCACAATGGGTCGTGGAAGAGTGCTCCCCGAATGAATGAACAAGGGAATGAATGGGAAGTGGGAGGCCCGGTGCCGACTCCTGGAATTGCTACTCAGCTGAGGCTTCAACACCTAAGAAGCCGTGGTTGCCGTGTCTGCACCTGCTCACAGGTGCCACAGGCTCAAGTGAGCTCAGGTGTGTGAAAACACCTCGTCAGACCCAGGGTTCGAAAGAGCCGATTCCATCCTGTTCTCTGGGGCACTGGCAGCCCCCAGGGGACCCTGGTGTCAGCATACCTGGCTCCCTGCAGTCTCTGTCCACCGAGGCTTCTCTGTGGCACCAGCCCCAGGAGAAGGAGGCTGAGAGGTCTGCTCCCTGAGGAAGGAGACCACGCCCTTCCCCTCGAAGGCCGAGCACAGACCTCGTGATAACGAAACCCCTTGCCCGTAAATACCATTTCCATTCTGAAGCACTTTTATACCTTGATTCATTCTACGTGTCCTGTGCCTTTGCCTGGTGTTCGGCTGATGTGACGCTGACGTGTAAGGACACTGCGGGCTGGTGACCCCAGCACCCACCGCACCCACCGCACCCACCGAGCCAGCCACACGCTATCAGCCGGAAGGAGACAACCAGGTGAACGCAATCTCGGGTCTCCGGCGGCGGAGGAGGGAAAGCATCCCGATGTCTGGAGAGGGCCGTGGACATGCTGAGAGTAACGGCCCTGTCGCTGACAGCCTCTGGTGCCGACCTCAGCGATCTTAATGGAAAGGAACCCGGAATACCGTGGTCGCCCTCTCCTCCGCCCCTCCCCGGTGGTCTCCCTGCTGACTGGCTATAACTCCACCACCGCTGGGAAGGTGCTTCCAATGCCCACTGTCCTCCCCGGCCCCCTGCTGGCCCCCAGGCCCCTTGGGCTCCAGGGACAAGGAGCCTCATCAGGCAGGGTGTGGGGACAAGCACTTGGCCTTCATCATTTTCGTCATCTTGGCTGTCAGATGAACACTCAAAGGCGACTTGTCCCAGCATGAACGCACGGCCTCTCCCTCCCCCCAGAACTCCTGTAGCCCCAGCTGGAGCGTCACTCCCCAGGTCCTGCCTGTTTAATGGGTTCAAGTGTCCTCAGATCCATCTCTCTGTCCCTTGCTCCTGCCATAACCTTCTTCCCGTGTCCCCTCCAAGGAAGTCCCCAGGGAGGGCCCTGTGCCCCTGTCCACTGTCTCCCCAGGTCCTCCCTGTACCTGCTGGATCTCCCTAGTCCCTCTCAACGTCCCCCCTGTGTGCTCGAAGCACACTCCCTGCGACCCCCAGAGGGGACCCTTCTGCTCAGGTGGACGTTCTAGACCAGCTCCTGACTTTGGCCTTAGCGCTGGAAGAGACATGCTCGGGAAACACCACCGCGTGTGCGAGGGTCCTGGGCACAGCAGCAGGTCAGGCGTCCTCCCCGGGGGGCTCCCCTGTGTCTTCTGGGAAGACGCCCAGGGCACTACCGCCTTGAGGTTCGCCTAGTGGTTCGCCTCCTCATGCCTGCTGGCCTTGACCCCACTGGCCACAGCCGAGTCCGGGCCGCACGCTGCGGCCCCCTTGGCCTGCCTCACACCCAGCGGCACCCTCAGGTTCACCTGTAAGGCCTTCCATCAGTGGGGTGCTGGGCTAGCTGCCGCGATGGAAGCTGATTGGTACACACAGCCATCGCTGAAATATAAATTATACAAACTTAAACACAATCAATTATACTCAGAACAAAGGGACCACAGACTCAGAACTCATCACTTCCTGGTCATGTTATTGCATTTTACTATTATCTCTGCCTCGGAGGTTATTTACATCAAGTGCATCTGTAAGCTGGGAATACCACCTAATTACGGGGTACTGCATCTCTTCCCAGTGCGAGTACCCACAGGACTTCCTTCCCACCCCCTCTGCGGCCAGAATGGGAGACCCATGTCTGCAAACGAGGCTGCCCCTGCACCCCGACCTTCTGACCAGGTGGCTAGGCATCTTGGGGTTCCTCCACAGGAGGGTCTGTTCCTCGTCCTCCTAGCCCTGCCCTCCACGGGGCTGAGAAGGGAGAGGGCTCAATGGCAAACATCACCAAGATGGGATCTCCACTTGCCCAGGGCCTTGAGTCTAGGATTTAAAGAAGGCAGAGGGATGTATGTGGTCGTCTGACCCTCCACCTGTCTGAGCAGTGCCCCGCTGTGCGCACGAGTCCCACACTGCAGCTTCTGGCGGAGAGCTCGCTCCCTGGACCCAAGGGTTCTGGCCGTTGACCACTGCCTCCTCTCCTCCGGGCTCAACACTTGCTTCCCAGAGGTCCCACTGCCATGGACACAACCCCAGCCCCCCCCCCCCCCCCCGCGGTCCCCTTTCCCGGCTGTAAACGCCGATCCTGCCGCCGGTCCTGCCGCCGGTCCTGCCGCCGGTCCTGCCGTGCGCGCAGGCAGCTCCGTCCGCGCAGCCTGCCCGGGCCCCGCTGGGCTCCTGTCCAGCGCCCACGAGCTCTCTGCGACTCAGCCTCCCCCTCTGCTGGGGATAGCCTCGCCGCCACCCCCCCATCCCGCCCCGCGGGAACGGCCTCCAACTGGGGCGTGGAGGGGACCCCCGGAGAGGGGATTCCCCAGTCTGTCTCCGATGGAATTAGAGGCAGAAACCGCCGCACCCCTGGCGCGAGTAATTCCTCCGGAGTCGCCTGCTAGCCTGGGACGCTCCGGACGCACCCGCGTGGAGATGCTGGTGGCTCACCCCCTCTCCGCCTGGCGCCAGGCCGTGAGCCGCCGTGCGTCTCGGTGCTCCAATGTAGGCAAGCAGGGCGCCCGGCGTGCGAACCCCGCACATCCCGGGGCCACGGCGCTCGGAGCCGAGATCAGTTGCGTGCGGGCCGCGGGGTCCCTCTGGCGTCGGGAAGCGGAGGCCATGGACGCGCGGGACGTGCAGAGGCCGCACCAGGTTGCAGCCCCAGCTGGAGGTGGGCTCAAGGCTGAGACGCCGAAGGAACGGAGAGCCCCGGGCTCAGGGGTGGGAAGAGGCTGCGCAGAAAGGGGGAGGGGATCGTGCTTTCCCAGGAAGACTTCAACACTGCCGGCTTCTGCTCCCACACGCGCCCTGGGCTGCCTGCGGTCCCTCTGGGCAGGCTCCGCCACCGCAGCGCCGCCAGGGCCATGGAACGAGGGCCTGAGTGTGTGGGTGTCCTGGTGTCAGAGGGGCTGCCCCACTGTGGCCGTAGGGGCTCGGGAGTCTTGACACCTCAGTTTCTTCCTCTATGTAATGGGGGCTTGGAATGGGCTACCTCCGAAGCCCCTTTGGCTCTGACCGGCCCAGAGGGCCAGCGGCTGGGATCCGGCGCTGGAACCCGGACGGGTATCTGGCAGCCGAGCCTGAAGCGACACTGTCCAGAAAACGGCGGGAATGCGTGTGCGTGTGTTGGGGTGGGGAGGATGAGTAGGGGTGACTATGAGTAAGTGGTCGTCGTGCGGAGCCCAACAGATGCGACGTTCCATTTCCCCAGGTCTGGGACCCCTCCCTGAAAACTCTCAGGAAGAATTGAAATGATCTGGGGTGCGGGGGTCCAGAAAGCCCAATAAGCTCGCGCGCGCGCGCGCACCAACCCACAGGAACGCATCCAGAGACGCAGACGCGGACACACACGGGCGTGCACACACGCTCGGCGAAGGGAGGGCCCCCGGGGAGCGCGGAAGGGTCCGGCGACCGGGCCCTCTCGGAAGCGACGGGGGCTCCGCGCCTCCCCGGGGCCCGCAGGAAGCGTCCAGCCCCTGAGGCGCCGTCTGCCCGGAATCGAGCCGGCTTCGCTGGCAGGAAAGGCTGGTCCGCTAGGGGCCGCCTCCGCGAAGTCCCCGCCGCCCCGCTGCTTGAGGCGGGAGCTGTCCTTCCCTGGAGAGGTGGCGGGGGTCGCAGAGGTCCGGGGCTTGTGGTGGGGGTGGGGTGCAGGGGAGCGCAGGGGAAGAGGTCGTGGGTGTGAGCAGTTTGTCAACCCCACACCGACATCTAAGAAACATGGAGCGGCCCGCGCCTCCCTGTCTGGGCTCTCTGCTCCCCCGTGCTCCCCACCTGGCCGCGGATGTGCACGATTTGAGCCCTGGGAAACCCAGCCCTCTCGAACGACCCGGGCCCAAGCTCCGCAGGTGTTCTGTGCAGCCACGCGAGGCGAACAGAATTCTGTCTCCGGGTCCGCGATGCCCCCCCCCCCCACCCCGAGCCCCGCCGGAGATTTAAGGACATCGCGCGCTTGGCCCATCCTTGGGTCCAAGGCCGCGGCCTGGCCTGGCCCACCCCACCCTACACCCCACACCCCACACCCCCTCCCACTCCCTCGCTCCACCCCGCGGCTCTCGGAGCTTTCGGGGAAGCGGCGCAGGCCGGGTGGGGGCGGGCCGGGGGGTGGGGTGGGCGGAAGCCAAGCGGACGCCGGGCTGTGGGGAGTGGACAGGAGAAGGCGGCCCCCCGGTGCGAGGTTGCGACCCCCGCCGCTCCAGGGCCAGGGCCGCTATTAAAGCGGGATTCCTCCCCCGCTGACGTCGGCGGCGCCGAGGCCCCTCCCGCGGTGGCATAAAAGGCGCGGGCTCCGCAGCGCCGGCAGCAGTGGGGGCCGGACGGCGCATCGGCGAGGACTGCTCGCGGAGCCGGAGCGCGGCCGCCCGCGGAGCCCCAGCCGAGCCGGCCGAGCGCCGCCCCGCGCCGCAGCCATGCCGGCCGGCCGCACCTGTGCGCTGCTCGCCCTCTGCCTGCTCGGCAGCGCGGCCCCGGATTTCGGGCCGACGCGCTTCATCTGCACCTCGGTGCCCGTGGACGCCGACATGTGCGGCGCGGCCGTGGCCGCCGGCGGCGCGGAGGAGCTCCGAAGCAGCGTGCTGCAGCTCCGCGAGACCGTGCTGCAGCAGAAGGAGACCATCCTGAGCCAGAAGGAGACCATCCGCGAGCTGACCGCCAAGCTGAGCCGCTGCGAGAGCCAGAGCACGCTGGACGCCGGCGCCGGCGAGGCCCGGCCGGGCGGCGGCCGGAAGCAGCCCGGCTCGGGCAAGAACACCATGGGCGACCTGTCCCGGACGCCGGCCGCCGAGACGCTCAGCCAACTCGGGCAAACTTTGCAGTCGCTCAAAACCCGCCTGGAGAACCTCGAGGTCTGCGCGCGCCGCGGTCCCCCCTTCGCCTCGCGTGCCCCTCCGCCCTCGCCCGCCCCACTCCCGACCTGGCCGGACGCCCCACCCGCTCCGGGCAGGGCGCCGCTGCCGGCCGAGCCGTCGGCAGCCTGTGGGGTCCCGGTGGACGGCCACTTGCCCGAGCTCCCCGCCAGGCCGCCCCCGCAGTCGCCCTGAGGGGACCGCGTCGGGAGCCTCCCGCTCGGTCTGCTCTGCGCGGTCTGCTCTGCGCGTAACGCAGCGGCCCCCCCCCTTGTACCCCCGCAGCAGTACAGCCGGCTCAACTCCTCCAGCCAGACCAACAGCCTCAAGGATCTGCTGCAGAGCAAGATCGATGACCTGGAGAGGCAGGTGCTGTCGAGGGTGAACACGCTGGAGGAGGGCAAGGGGGGCCCCAAGAACGACACGGAGGAGAGGGTCAAGATCGAGAGCGCCCTGACTTCCCTGCATCAGCGGATCAGCGAGCTGGAGAAAGGTAACTGTCAGGGACGGGGCATACTGCTGCCTGGCTCCCTAGGCCGCCGGACTCGGGCCGGGCCGGGCCTCCTACAGTGGAGCCCAGTGCTCCTCCACCCTCCAGCCCGAGTCCTGCACAGGTCCCCGGCTTCCAGGGCTGTTCCTGGTGGGGCTGAGGCACCTGGGCTCTGGCTCTCTCTGTGGAAGGGAAGCAGGGAGGGGAAGGGATTGCCTGGTGCCCCCTGCCCCCCCCACCACACACTCACGGACTCACAGGATTATTCCAAGTCTGATTTGTTTAATCTTCAGTAACTCGGCCCTGTAGCTGTGGTCAGCCCAGGCCCCCTCGGCTGGTCCCCACGCCCAGCAAAGAGCTGGCTCGTGCTGGACCTGGGTCCTCCTGGTCCCCCACAGACTTGGGCCCTGAGCAGACTTCGTCCCAGCTCCTCGGTGCCTCTGGACCCTCTGGGGAGCTCTAGGTACCCTGCTCTGCCCCGAGCCCCTTCCCCGGGGTTTTCTTTTCTGAGGGACCCACGCTTAGCATCTTGCACACCCTGCAGTTCCCCGGTCCCCACTCTGGAGGACCCCCATTGCTCCCCGGGGCACAGGATGATGGCTTAGCCTTGAAGTCGCAGAAATCAAACAAGGTTGTAAAAGGGGGGGGCACCCCGCTCAGAGCAGAAGCACGTGACCCCTCTCAGACCGCAAAATGTGCCAGATGGATTTAAACAGTGCCATCTTAAGGCACCTTATGTAACTGAAAAACACATCGGGGAGGGAGCCACAGGGAAGAGGGGGAAGCAGAGGAGAGAGGGGGGATGAAAACCACCCCCTGGAGAGGCCAGGGCTGCATCTGCTCCGAAGACAGGGGACCTGGAGCTTGAGACCCTGTGGGTAGCTGAGGAGCCAGCCCTGCCCTGTTCCCTGAGGCCTGGCTTAGAGGAAGCTGGCCAGCAGGATGCCTTCTGGAAAGATTGTTGGCCGGGGGGCTGGTTTAGGGCTGGACTCCCTGGCAGGCCTGGGGCACACTCGGGAACTGGTGGGCGTGTGTGTCCGGCCCAGGCCTAGTGCTGGTGCCCACTGATGGGTGGGAACGTTGTGCCTGGAGCTGGTCACACCCTGCACGGGGTCACAGCCCCCTTCTTTGTGTGGGTGGGGAGGGGGCAGCCAGCATTCACCGGAGACATCCTAGCAGGCAGGGATGGTGGCCAAGTGTAAGGGGAGGCCATCAGCCAGGAGCCCAATTTTCCTGGAGACACACAGGAAGCTGACCCTGAGAGTGAGAGGCATAGTCCTCAAAGCAGTCACCTTGGTGGCCCGGGCTCCATGGGCTCCCTGCTGTTCTGACCTCTCTGCAGAACTCCACACAGTCGCTAGAGTAGCCTGGGAGTAGGCTCTCCCTCCGGGGGTGTGGTTGGGATTCTGGAAATAGCCCGAGTCCTCAGGGCTAGCTGGCTGGGTCAGCGTGTCCAGGGGCAGCAGTGTGTCCTGGCCTGGAGGCAAGTGAGCCGGGCACCAGGGGCCTGGCTGTCCCGGTGGAGGCCGAGCGAGAGCGTGTTTCTGCGCACTATCGGCAGCCAGCATCTTGGAATCAGGTCCGACCCCCAAGGGGCTGCTCCCAGGGGAGCTAGCCTCTTTCGGGGCGGGAAGGAGACCTTCCTCTGAGACCCACCTTCGAGGGTCAGTTCACAGGGTGTGCACTGACTCACTCCCAACCAGTGCACACCGAGCAGCCCACCATGCACCCTCCCCCCACGCCAGCCCCCCTGAGGCAGCACCATGAGGCAGCCAGCGGCCGTTGCAGGGACAAAGGACCTTCCCTCGCTGCGCCTCCCTCCACACACCTGTGGAATGGAGGTGGCGTCTGCCCTGTCTGCATCACTGCTGGGAGGGCTGCCGACGGGGACCAGTGCTTCGTGGGGTGTGGGTGTCAGGACGCATCCCGTCCTCCCCAGGTCAGAAGGACAACCGCCCTGGAGACAAGTTCCAGCTGACGTTCCCTCTGCGGACCAACTACATGTACGCCAAGGTGAAGAAGAGCCTGCCGGAGATGTACGCCTTCACCGTGTGCATGTGGCTGAAGTCCAGCGCTGCGCCCGGCGTGGGCACGCCCTTCTCCTACGCGGTGCCCGGCCAGGCCAACGAGCTGGTCCTCATCGAGTGGGGCAATAACCCCATGGAGATCCTCATCAATGACAAGGTAGGGCCCCACTCAGCTGGGCTTGCAGGACAGCAGTGCGAGGCCCCTGGGGCCCTGGTCCCGGGGGGCTGCTGGGCAGGTCTTCGCTGGCACAGGACACTTAGCTTCAGATGCTGCTGTCGCTCCAAGAGGCGAGCCTGCCAGGCAGGACTAGGAGGGGGAGGGGAAGACCAGGAGAGATGGGAGGGCACCTTCGTCTGATTCAATGATTCAATGAACGGGGTGAAGATGGAACTCTCCAGGGGGCCCCTCCTTCCCACCATCAGTCCCTGACTCCTCCTCCCCCAGCCGGCAGGCACAGGGCGAGCACAGGTGCTCTGGGGTGTAAACGTGCCCCTGGAAATTCTTCCTGAGTCCAGATCGATTCTGCTTAGCCCCCAGCCCGTGGGGGAGGACGAGATCTGCACGGGGGGTCACCTTCTCCCTTCCGTCACCTGGGATCCAGCCTTCACACGCCCCAGCCCTGTGCCCGTGCGGTGGCAGATGTCTCAAACTCAGGCTGGAAATTGGATTCCAAGCCCTTGGTTCCTTGCCCAGGAAGGTTGTGCCTTTTGGGGCCGCATTTCCCCACGTTAAAAGGGTTCTCGGCCGGTGCACCATCGTCCCTGCCCGGAACCTCGGGGGTGAAGGCAGCGCTGGGTTGGAGGCCGCCTGACCTTCAGGCCGGCCTCTCTCCCCCTGGGCTCCTGGCTTCTGGGCCAGGGCTCTGGGCCAGGGCTCTGGGCCAGGGCCCGGCAGGGTGAGACCCAGAGGGCCTGGCAGGGAGGGGCGTGCCGGGAAAGGAGGGGAGGCCTGCGGGAGCGGTGGCCGTGGGCCCTGGTCTCCCCAGGGCTGCCGTGCAGACTGGGTAGGAGGAGGTGGTGTCTTCCGGTGGATCGCCGGGCCCCTGACGGAGATCCCGTCCCCTCGGTGCCTGTCACTTACCTTGAATGAGCCATAGGAAGAGTCACTGCAGAACCAGCTCCTAGTGCGGTGGGTGGTCCTGAGCCCAAAGTGTCACGGGCGTCCTTCTCCTGCCCAGGTGGCCAAGCTGCCATTTGTCATCAGTGACGGGAAGTGGCACCACATCTGTGTCACCTGGACCACTCGCGACGGGGTCTGGGAAGCCTACCAGGATGGCACCCAGGGCGGCAGTGGCGAGAACCTGGCACCCTATCACCCCATCAAGCCCCAAGGCGTGCTGGTGCTGGGCCAGGAGCAGGTAGTGGCCTTGGGGGCAGCGAGGGGGAGGCGCCCAGAACCAGAGACCAGGCGGGGGTGGGGGCTGTGTGGGAACGGCAGGGGGGGGCTGCGGGGGGGAAAGGTGGGGGGCTGTGGGGGAAAGGCAGAGGGGAGGCTGCAGGGGAAGGCGGGGGGCTGGGGGGAAAGGCAGAGGGGGGGCTGCGGGGAAAGGCGGGGGGCTGGGGGGGAAGGCAGAGGGGGGCTGCGGGGAAAGGCGGGGGGCTGTGGGGAAAGGCGGGGGGCTGGGGGGAAGGCAGAGGGGGGGCTGTGGGGAAAGGCGGGGGGCTGGGGGGAAGGCAGAGGGGGGCTGGGGGGAAGGCTGCAGCAAGGGCCGCCCACTCAGGAATGCTCCCTGCACGGCCAGCCCTGCCTCTCCCAAAGCAGTCGACCTCCTGGGGGTGGTCTGTCTCCCTGGGGCTCCCAGGAGGGAGGTGGAGGCAGCGGAACCCTAGGCCTTCTGTCCACTGGGTGACAGTTGGTGGCAGAGTGACGCTGAGCCCTTCCCTGGGAGCAGGGAGCACGGGGATGCAGCCTAGGGCCCTGCCCTCAGGGCTGCCCGTGGCCCCAGCTGACCCCTCGCTGGCTGAATGACCAGCTTCAGGAGAAGCAGAGTCCAGGTGCCCCGGGGAGAAGCTCCCCATTGGGGCAGAGATGGCCAGCAGGGTCCCTTTTCCTGGGCTCCCCGTGGGCTGGGGGGGCATGGGTAGCTGAAGACCCAGAGACAGGAGAGGTGAACACGAGAGCCTGAAGGAGAGGCACAGACACTGGTCCCCGAGAGATGCCCCTCCCCAGCCCCCACCCCACCCACCCCTCCACCCTCATCCTCCGCTCTTCTCTGAAGGACACTCTGGGTGGCGGGTTTGATGCCACCCAAGCATTCGTGGGTGAGCTGGCCCACTTCAACATCTGGGACCGCAAGCTGACCCCCGGGGAGGTGTACAACCTGGCCACCTGCAGCGCCAAGGCCCTGTCCGGCAACGTCATCGCCTGGGCCGAGTCCCACATCGAGATCTACGGAGGTGCCACCAAGTGGACATTCGAAGCCTGTCGCCAGATCAACTGAGGGGCCCATGCAGCTCCGAGGGGCTAAGCACCCCTCCCCGGCCTGCCCCCGCCTGCCTCCTCTGCTTCTGCGGTGACCACCCACCATCTGTGCGCTCCCCTCCCCCAGGAATGACCCAGGCCATCGCCCTCCTGCGCCCGTGCCCGCCCCCGCCCGGTTTGGTCCCGTGCACACGACGCAGGCCTGGGCACCCTGTCTGTCCCCGAGGAGCCCTCTTTCTCTAGGAGCCCACACTGTCTCCCAGGCGTGCCCCCGGCCCCGTGACGCAGGCGGTGCGACATTCTGCGCAATGCAGAAGTAGGTGACGGCGCGTGTGTGCGTGCGTGTGCGTGCGTGTGCGCGCGTGTGTCTGAGCGTGTCTCTGGGGGAGGCTTTTCTTTCGGAAGGAAGTATTTCATCTCCTTCTTGCTTCGTGGCTTTGGGAGTCAGGGCGGGTCAAACCCTGGACGCACCAGCCTCCTGAGCTGCCTGCGCCGCTCGGGCTGGTGCAGCTCCCTCGCCACGCGCACCTGTCCTCGTCGCAAAGCTTGTTCAGGGCGGCGTACCCCTATATCGATAAAATAAATGTCTTTTAGTTGTTTGCTAAAGGCCAGGGGGTGGGTTGGGCTGTCTGTGGAGATATTTTGTCGTGGAAGTGAATTCTCTCCGAAGGTTGAAGGCAGACTGTGTCCTGGGAGGGCACCAGGTGCTCAGAGGGATGGAGGAGGTGGGAGGAGGGTCCTAGCAGCCCCCCTCACCCCAGCACCCTGATGGCATCTAGAGCAGCACCGGGCAGGGGCTGCCCTGCGTGCCCAGCTCGGCTGGCTCAGCCCAGGGGCCTGGCTCTGGCCTCAGCCTTTCTGCCTCCTCACACCCAGAGAGCCTGGGACCCATCCTCCCTTTCAGCCACCAGCTGGTCCTGCCACCACCCCACTGGTGTCCCTGGAGAGGAGTTCCCCACCCACAGCCAGGACCCCCCTTTTGCCTCTGGTAATAGAAGAGCAGAGGCTTCCGAGGGCTAGTTCGAGAGGGATACCCACACTCTGACTAAGTCTCGGCCATGTAGGGCCACTGAGACTCCACCCAGCCCCGGGGACACACAGCCATACTCCCCCAACACTCGGGGCTCAGCGAGTCCTCCAGGGCCAGGGTCCCCGGAGACCTCTCCCAGGGAGCCAGGCACGGCCAGGCCAGGCCCTGAAACCCACTCCCCATCGTACAGGGCTCAAGCCCTGCCACAGCCCCCACCTGTCACTAGCTGGTGACACTGAACACCAGTGTTCAGAAGCTTCTACTTTTTTTTTCCCCCATGAAAAGCAATCATGCACATTTCCTTCTAGTCCTCCTGAGGCGGGGAGGCGTGTGCGTGAGTGCGTGTGCGTGTGTGCGTGCATGGATTGAGAGAGCGCACTCAGATCATGCCCAGGGTAGGGTGGGCTCCCTGCTTTTTTGCATCTTCTGGGGGTCGCACGGCCCAAGGGCACCTGGACGCTGTCACCAGGAGTCTGAACAGCAAATGGCTGGCAAGTCTGTCTGGAAACCCTGTTGCACTGCCTGGCTCAGCTACAGCTGCAGCGTCTCTTCAGGAGCGGGTGTTTCCGTCTCCTGTCCCCTCCCAGGGCACCTGTCTCCCAAAACGCAGGTCCACATTGCATCGGAAACCCAGTGCATCTGCGTCTGTGTTGGTGTCTGTGTCTGTGTCCACGTGGGTGTCTGCACAGTGCCCGTTGCCGTTCTCCCACGCGTGGCTCTCGTGCTGAGGGTGCAGCCCAGGCGGCATCCGCCTTGTGGTTCAGCGGTGGCTTCTTCTGACCATAGGTTGTGGCATCTTTGGATCTACAGGGATCCTCTCTGTTTGCATGTTCTTCGGGGTGGCGTGTCCCTTGCTCCCTGTCTGATGTGTGTTCCCCTGCCTGCATGGACTTCTCCAGTTCTGTGTTTTGTGCTGAGTGCCACCCATTGTTCTGTGACCATCCATGTAGCTACCGAAAATGGCTAGGAAAGCAAGCCAAGGGCGTTGGAGGAGGTCCCAGGAGAGGTCAGAGTCCCTCTCCCCCTCCCCGCTCCCCAAACACACCAAGAAGTATTTCCCCGTGTAGGACGAGAACAGGCCTAACTAAACAGCACCCATGGGAGAGAGCGAGAGCTTGGAGCCTCTAAACCAGATCGCCCACCCTCACGTCAGCCATCTGGGAGCTGTCGCGAGGCAAGGCCCCGGCGGCTCGGTGCTCTCCGGTCAGCACCTCCCACCAGCCCTGCCGATCTCGGACCCCAGACCACCTGCCCAGTGGGCGCGGTGGGAGCTGTCCGTTCAGGACCACAAGCCATCCTCTGCCCTAACTCGAGATGGGCAGAGCCTACCCGGACGCTGATGTCTATGTCCACCTCCAGACCCTTCACCTCCCCGCCCCGCCCCTCCCCCCCCCGACGCACCCTTGGTGCCAGGGACACAAGCTCACACTTAGCGCCCCCTCCTCCCTGAACTGGAGCCTGTGCCGAGCCCTCGACTCCCTCACTGTGTTAACACTTGGCACTTTGCCGGCCCCGAGAGAGGTGGAAGGCACGGCCACAAATCGAATCCACGTAGTTCCCATCTCCTCCTCAATCGGATCGATGCTCCCTCGTGCACTGACTAATCATTGCCTATCTCAGGTAAGCCATTTTATAAACAAGGAGCCGTGCCCCCGGCTCCCGCGCCTGAGGTGGGACAGCCGCCCGCGGCCCCGCGGCCCCGGGGCGGAGACCCCACTGGAGTGGTAAGCCTTCTTGCTTTTGATAACGTGGTATTATTTCTCTTACTGTAGAAGACAAAGTTTATTACCAAACAAGAGTATTTTTATGAGAGAAAAGGACAAACCTATAAATTAACTCAACCTATAGCTCCCTTGAAAAATACTTTCAGGCTCCGCCACAATGTTGGGCTGAAAGCGTGTATTTTGGAAGAAAGAGATACATTTTGTATGCTTTCTTTTCCTTTTGTAGACTCCCGGTTCATTTTCTAAGACTGCAAAGATCACTTTGTCACCAGCCCTGGACCCGAGACGGGGGGGTGTCTTGTGGGCAGTGAAGGGGAGGGGAGGGGCTGGCGTGAGGTTTGCGTTGTCCCACTGAGCTCCGGGGAGGGCCACCTGTCCTCACAGGCGCCGGGACCAGGCTGTCCCCGGCCATGCGATGGACTGGTATCTTGGAGCTGACTTGTTCAGCGGAATGAGTTGAGGACTCGATTAGCAATCCCAACCCTGGCAGAAAAAACCAGGGGATCCTTTGTAATCTCACACCAACCAAAGCTGGCTTGAAGCAGGCGCGGATTCATCTCTTAAAACGCAGCGTGTGAATTGACACAGCCAACGACGGGACGTGTACCGCTCCCGTGCACCGTGGACTTGGCGTGATCTGTGGAAGGGGAGCAGGTCATCGAGGAGAAAAGCCCAATACTTAGACTCCCGATTTTGTCTTCTTTGCCAAAAACAAAAACAACCCTAACAACAAAGCGAGCCCCCCCCCCCCTCTGGTTGATATCGTTACAATGTACATACTGTATAATATGGAAGAGAATCGGTGTATCTTACTTTTTCATTATTTGCTAACCAAAGCTAAACATTTTTCATACGATTTGCAGCCGTTTGGCTATCAAGTGGGTCCAAACCGTGGGACCTGCCGCCTCCCATCAGCGATTCCGGAAATGCACTATTTCTACTGGTATTCTTGCTTTCTTTCTTTTTCATTTTCTTGCTGAAACGACATGAATTGTTGAGTTTATTTTTACACAGTAAAGAGTGAAGAAAGACTGTGGTCTCCTTGGAGTGTCTGTTCATTTCAACCTGCCAGACCCCTCAGGGGGCCACCCAGGGGACCCTCACCTGCAGAGAGAAAGCCGGCCTTGCGTGCGCGTGGCCCTCGGGAGGGAAGGGCCTCCCCAGCCGGCAGGTGTCGCTCACCGAAGCAGAGCGGGCAATGTGGTGTGCGAGGCCACCCTGAGCTTGGGGATCGGGGTCACTCCCGCGCACCTCCCCTGCGGCCACACTGCTCCTGGGCAGGCACGCGGCCCAAGGCACGGTGGGCGCGGGTTCTGGGGCCTGGGCACGTCTCTCAGACAAGCCTGCCCTGTTCTGGGTCAGCCCCTGGTTGTCTCCACGGGGATTCCAGGCCCCTTCCCTGCGCTCTGGTAGGGGAGCCTCCCGAGGCACATGCCAAGGGGCGTGGGGGTGTGCAGGAGCCCTGGGCACCGGGAAGAACTTTCTCCGCTGGCCCCTCGTGGGCCAACCTAGACTCTAGGTGGACACAGAGCTTATGAGCTGTTTCCCTCCGAGGCGTAACATGACCAAGAGCGAGAGCCCGCCTGGTTGACTGCCCCCACTCCCCTGCACACGTGCACACTCACACGGACACGCTGGGTGTCAGACACGACCCGTCCCTCCAGCGTCCTGCTGGCGCTGGGAGTGTGTCCACCATCGTGGCCGTGGCCGTGCCCGTGGACGCCCTGCCCAGTGCACAGGTGCTCTCTGGCCAGGACTGGGCAGCTGGGGTTTGGCAGGTGGTGAGTGTCGCCTGGGGTGGTACAGAGGAAGGGCATTAGGCCTCCCAGCACAGAGCAGGAGAAGCTCCCTGCTGCCCACCCAGGCCAGAGGCCCGTGACCTGTTTCTCTTTTTTTGAATCCATACCGAAGGATATGTTCGCTTGTTTTTTTAACTGATTTTTAGAGAGAGAGGAAGAAACATCAATGTGAGAGAGAAACATCGATTGCTTGCCTCCAGTATGTGCCCTGATCAGAGGCTAAACCCAAAACCAAGGTGCCCTGACCAGGAACCAAGCCTGCAGCCATGTTTGGTGTCCGGGACGATGCTCCGACCAGCTGAGCCCCACCAGCCGGGCACGTGACCTGTTTCATGGTGGTGGTATCCACCACGGGCTACACACGTGTGGCCAGGCCCGGGGTGTGCCGATTCCAGCAGCTCTGGCCGGCACGCCACGCGGGACAGGGCGTACCTGACGCCTACAACAGCGTCACGCTCACAGTTAT